GGAGACAAATTGAGCAGGATAGTAGCAGCTAAAAGCAGAGTTGCGCCACTGAAAGCTGTCAGCTTATGGCAGCTATCCTAGGTCTGCGATTGATATTGAATAACAGAGAAGCACTTGATGTTGACATTACGCCGGCTTCTGGTCGGACAACATGAACGTGCTATGCTGGATTAGAAATAACAGCAGAATATTCAAACATTTCGTTGCCAACAGGGTGGAGACATACTCCTAGTGAAGCAAATCCTGCTGATTTGATTAGTCGAGGTGCCACAGGTCATCAGTTGGTTACTAGTTCTTTGTGGTTGTCAGGGCCTTCTTTCTTACTGAGAGATGAACTTAATACGCTTCAATCAGCAAGCTTTTTTACTGTGCCATGTGGCTCATGGCGACTGGAACCCTCTCGATTCTCCTCGTGGAGAAGACTCACACGAGTGAATGCATGGGTTTACAGGTTTCTGCACAACTGTCTAGCATCGAAAGATGATAAACTTGAAGAAGAATTATCACCAAATGAGATAAGTGACGCTGAATACCGAATCATCATGAATGTGCAGAAGGAATGTTTTCCGAAAGAATATTCATCATTGGCATCCAGAAAGCCATTACCGTCAGGGTGGAAAATCTCCAGCCTCCATCCTGAGCTAGATGACAATGGGCTCATGAGGTTGAAGGGACGCTTGGAATATACTGAATACTTACCGCAAAATACTAAATTTCCAATCATTTTGCAAAAAAAAAACCCAGCTGGGTTACGAATTTTTTATCAAGCATTATCATGATGAAGGTTAGCATATCGCTGGAACAAACCAAATATTAGCTTCACTTTCAACAAAGTACTTGATAATTTCTGGCAGAGAAGCCATTCGATCATGGGAGTTGAAATGTGCACGGTGGCTTTTGAATAAGGCAATGCCAGTTCAACTGATTATGGTGCCTTTGCCCAAGATGAGAATGGGAGGTTCACACAGACTGGAGTAGATTATGCTGGTCCATTCTTGACCGTTCAAGGTAGAAGTAAACAACGACCGAAGTGATACCTCTATCTGTTTACATGCTTGTCTACTAGAGTCGTACATTTGGAAATGGCCTATGGTTTGGATACGGACTCTTACATGGACGAAGAAGTCGAAAGGAATGGTGGACTAATGAACTATCTGAGTTGTGGAATGAAATGCGTAAAGCTGAGAAGCAGTGGTGTAAATGCAAAGATGTACAGAGGAGACTTTTTAAACATGTGTATAGCCAGAACGTAAATACTTCGACAGACGGGTAAAGAAAGCCAAGAGAGACTTTCAGTTTAAAACAATTCAAAACCTAGATAAACTACGTAAAAATAATTCGGGTAAATTTTGGAAAACAATTGGTAAGGTTGGAGTGGGGCACGAGAGAAAGTAACAGATTCCAATGCGTTTGGAAGACGGGTCTATCTGCACAGATAAGGAGACTGTTTAAACACCTGGAAATCAGCGTATTCTAACCTTTTAAATTGTAATGTTAGTGTGAACCTGATCGATCTCCCTATCCTGAGGGTGATCCGGATAGTGAATTGAACCAACCTATATCTATTGATGAGGAGAGGCAAGTATCGCTATCTGCAAAGGGAGGTAAATCACCTGGCCTAGACGAGATCCCAACAGAAGGACTGAAGAATGATAACACTTTGATGTTCTTACACAGACTTTTTAATCAGTGTTTTCTCTATGGCATAGTTCCATCAGTGTGGGCGAAGAGCGTCATAACACCCACACCCTAATCATCGACTGACGACCGCAGGGTTGAGGGCTTACAGAGGCATCAACCTTGCAAGTTCTTGTTACAAACTGTGGTATACTAAATAACAGACTCACTTCTTTTGCAGAAAATAATCAGCTTGCTAGTGAATCACAGAACGTGTTCAGAAAGGGTAGATCCACGCAAAACATGTATATAGTGTCACCTCCATTATAGAAACACCCAAAGGGATGAAGAAATCTACATATATGTGTCGCTTTTATTGGTTTTAGAAAGGCCTATGATTGCATAGATCGAAACGTGTTGTGGGAGAAACTCAAAAACAAAGGCATAAATGGCAGTAAGCTGAAATCTCTTTTATCCTTGTATAGAAATGTGCAGTGCTGTATCCCACTTAACGGTCTTCTGACACCCTTTTTCGATGTTACATGCGGTTTGAAACAAGGCTGTTTTCTCTCGCCACTCCTGTTTAACCTGTATATTGATGATTTGTTACGCACAATAGACGCTCTCAATATAGGTGTATCTATAGATAATAATACAGTGGGAATTCTGGCATATGCGGATGATATCATTTTGTTGGCTGAGAATGAAGAAGATCTTAATATCCTACTCGACTGCTTGCACAGCTGGTGTGTTTCAAACAGAATGACTGTTAATATAGTGCAAAATCTAAATTAATTCACTTTAGATCACAGACTGTACCAAAAACAAGTATCATAGTTATGTGTGGAGAGAGTGTTTTAGAAACTGTTGAGAGTTACAGTTACTTAGGTTTGCTTCTCACAGAATATTTAGATTACGCAAGGATGGCCAAATCTACAGCTAATTCGGACAGTTGGGCGCTTGGCCTTTTGATATCTAAATACAAATTGCTTGGTGGAATTGAATATGCTACGTTCACAAATTGTATGATACAATGGTTTGGTCCATCCTGGACTATGGCTCATGTATATGGGGTTCTTATAATATGTCTTGTATCAATGCTGTCCAAAATCGTGCTATGCGTTTCTTCCTAGGGCTTAAAAAGTATGCCCCAAATCAGGCTGTCAATGGTGAAATGGCATGGATACCCCCCAGTTGTACGCCAGTGGGGAAGTACTGTAAGATTTTATAAACGTTTATGTACCCTGCATTTTAGTCGTATTACCAAAGAAATATTTTTATGGAGTGATCGATGGGGCGATCCGCCGTAAGCGTAATTTAAACTTCCGCATACATACTATAAGTTGTCGGAATTGGGACTAGCCCATTTTATCCCTGTGAATAACTGTTTTGATATACATTTTATTTCGTCAGAAGTACGAGCTGTGTTGTATCAAAAGCATGTCACACAGTGGAGAGAAAGTATTTTACAGCCACAAGGTCCGTCCCGAAAGGGAGGTAATAAGCTGAGATTGTATTCTACTTTTCAAACATGTTTTACTCCAGCATTTTATGTCTGTCATAGCATCCCACGAGCACATAAGAAATGCATTAGCAAACTTATGTGGCACAGCACCAATCAATATTGAACTGGGCAGATATGCCAATATTCCCCTACAAGAGAGACAATGTTTTAATTGTGTGAATGTAATTGAGGATGAATGCCACGTTTTACTTGATTGTCCAGTGTACAGTGTCGAGCGAAAGAATCTTATTGATAATTGTCTTAGAATTTGTCCGGAATTTATGAATATAAGCAATACCAAAAGACGTTAAAATATGGTACTTGTTGGTCCCTGCCTGGCGCTCGGCATTATTGGGTACAACAAGGACTGGTCGGCTCGGAGTCAGTATAATGTGTCTGAGTGGGGTATTCATGCTTCACTGTGGTATGGTATCTCAGTGGGCTAGCACTATAAAACCAGCTTCAGTCTGGGCTAGTACAAGCAGCTGCACATACACATGCATGCACGCCGTCTTCACTGTGCATATGAGCGAAATATCTCTCTCACTCTCTCTCTCTCTCTCTCTCAATCTCTCTCTCTCTCTCTCTCTCTCTCTCTCTCTCTCTCTCTCTCTCTCTCTCTCTCTCTCTCTCTCTCTCTCTCTCTCTCAATCAAACGGTGGAGAAGAGTTCAAGAGTTGGTGCCTCACTTTTGGTGCCGGTGGAGGAGGGAATGGTTACCAAGTCTCAACACTAGACGAAAGTGGTATTCTCCTAAAAAAGATCAACAAGTTGGAGATGGTGTTTTACTTATATCTCCCGATGCGCCCCGAGGAAACTGGCAGCTTGGTAGAATATTGAACATCTATCCAGGGAGAGAGGGCCACGTTCGTTTGCTTGATGTTAGGACTAAAGAGTTATACTGAAAAGACCAGCAAACAAAGAATGGACATCATCGAGTGGAAGAAATGTCTTTGATTAGCTATTAGACAAACTGGTTTTAGTCTATGATTGACACAGGTCAATCATGGAGGGGGTTGTGGTCTTGAGACAAAAATGTTGGAACAGATCGCGTAAACGCACCATGCTTCGCGGCAAACCGAGGAGCATGACTTTAAACGTGCGGTCAGACCGTTATATAGTCTCCCTGCTTGGGTTTAATAGGGTCTGACTTGAGTTTAGACGTCAGGTTAGTTCAGGTTTGGCTGGACTTTGGGTGTTACTTGAGTTAGGTGACAGGTCGTCACGAATCGTTTTATTAGCTCGTCAGAATAGGATGTAGACAGACTGATATAAAGAATTTAATAGTGCATCGAAAGTCCCATATAGCTAGCTGCAACAGAGCTAGATACTGTAGATAATAGACTTTACGCTGTAATAGAGCTAGATACTGTAGATAATAGACTTTACGCTGTAATAGAGCTAGATACTGTAGATAATAGAATTTAAAAGTGTCACATTAAGTTACTTGGATTATTTCATCTGATCAACAGTCACGTTTAGTTCCCCAAATAGCATGTTTCGACACTTCATATTTTACTTAGTTTAGTTTTCAGTTCCACTGCGCAACATGCCATGATCCTAAGACAGTGGGTTCGAACAACACATTCGCTTAAATTTCACAGTCATACTCCACGGAGAGAAATGAGATATTTAAAAAAAATGCTTTATCGACTGACTATACTCTTTTTCAAATATCTCTTTAATGGAAACTGCATGCGATTCTAGTCACAAGAAACGGCATACTACTAATAAACATATGAAAATAATATAGATATTCAGGTAAGTATTCCAATCAATATTTTTCTTTCATAGTTTATTTGCCGCTTTTCGTCCGATAGAATGAACATGTGCGAAGAAATCTACGCAAGGGAGGGCACTCTCTTTCTCGATCTTCACGCGGGAATTCAAGCGAGGTCAAGGGTTACAGTACATGCCAAGTAAAAAATGGCTGCCGATTTGGCACAATTCGATTTATTACTTCAGTCTCTTTTGAGCCCTGATAACAACACAAGAACACAATCAGAGGTATGTATTTTGAAGATTGTTTATGTGTCTTCCAATTAAATATCTTCAGAGCTGCCCCAAATAAGAGATCGCGGCACCAGACGCTGGGTGGTGTGAGCCTCTGTCTCATCGATCCTTCTCCATGTGACTCCAGCCTTCTGCCATGTGGTCATAATAAAGCCAGACACACGTGTGCATGTAGGAGAGAGCTTTGACTCTCAGAAGTTCATCTTTGACTATCACCGTGTGTACTTTTTGTTCCAAATACTCAAATAGTTTTAGATTATGAACTTATGACGTAAAAAGGCCGAACTCGTGGAGCAACTTGTGTTTTGCTTACTAATTGGTGTTGTGGATATTTTTATGTGGTTGTGAATTATACAACTGGTCTCACATGTTAGTGTAAAAGTAGAATATTGTTTACTTGGGACAGTTAATAGCAAGAATAAAACCAACCCCATGGATTTTATTGTCAGATTTATGTGTGAAAAAGGGAGAAAATATATTCTGTATGAGCCAAGGAGTGCAGCTGTATGTGTCATCACTTAGTAGTTTGAAATCCTTCCAAGTGCATCTGCAGAGTTAGACATTGAAGACACATGTGAGCAAAAGTTGAACGGGAAGTTGTATTATTATATTTAAGTGTTATCATCTCATCACAAACTTCAGACATGAATTTCCTTGTATATCACAGTTATTATGCTGCAATGATCAACATGTTTTCCAAGTTGAAAACAGTGAAACAAAATTCCCATCTCAAGAGAACTTAATTATAACGATAGAGAATTACATGATCCCTTTGGTTTAAGTCAGTGCTTGAGCTGATACAAAACTTGCCCGACTTGGCATCACTGTTTTCAAGACTAATCAGTAGTGTTTGGAGTTGAAACTGAAAGCCGTTCTCACCAGCTGTTACTGACTCGTCATAAACCATAGTTAAGCTATCATAGCCTCAGTTTACTGCCTACCCTCTTGGTAGTGTACTGCCTACCCTGTCTACCCTTCCTTGCTGTCTTCTAATGAGGAGCTCACATGCTCAATCAAATCCTTAAAAATCAGTAGGCAATTTTTTAACCGTGTGGAATTCTTCAAAATGGATCTATATTTTCCCATTTATTTTGGCCTGTTTGGTGTTTTTACATAACTTGTCGGTGGTCCAGTGACTGAGTGTCTGTGTTGAGTGCGGAGGGTCAGTATTTCAGTCCGCTCGCCACATAATTCTCACAGGCATTACCAGCCCTGGCCTGGTTGTAAGAGGATTAGACAATGACTGGTCAGCTCACACATATTGTAATCACATGGTAATGTGTCAGAGTAGGGTATTTTGAACAATAGCAGGTATCTTAAGGGGCTTGAATTTTGTAACCAGTGTAAGTACACTCGAGCACAGAGCCATTTAACAACACTAGAGTTGTACTGATACTGCTAGTGTGCGTTTGGATATGTATCCCAGAATGAAAACTTGTGACATGACAATCACTTCCAAACTCTTTTAAAAAAAATAACACCAAAGGGTTATCACCAATGCCCATCACTAATTAACTCTTCAAAAACTAACTGATCAACTAACAAGTTAACATTAAAGTGTAAGGTTTACTGTTCATAACTTGAAAAGACTTGAATTGAAAGCTTTGGGAAGAAAAGTTATTCATCCATGTGGGTAATATGTTGGCATTCTGGAACACAAAGTATCATCTTGTGTAGTCTCCACGGCTGATTTTTTTTCGTTGATGAGATATGCATTTGTTTTAATATTTCAGAGATTGGAGATGGGATATTGAAGGTCAGAAACATATTGACTGTACATGCTAAATGACACTATGAACACTGTGTCAAAAGTGGGAGTGTACTAGGCCAAAGATAGCTTTCAGCATCATTTTCAATAAAAATTAGTGTTACTAAATGGAGTCTTAATAGCTGAGCTCATTAGACTGCACAGAATTACTGTAGACTATAGGACAGATGCCTCAAGTCGAAGACTGTGAATTATTTACAGTAAACAGAAATACTATAGAATCTGCTCAAGCTTGTTGTTGAACAGTTTTATGGTGTATTGTGTAGTGAGACTTCATGTTAGGATATTGTACTGTAATGCTGTAATGTTACTATGCTGACATATGCATGCCTGTCGTAGCATGTTGCCATAATCTTGAAGGAGACGTTAAACCCCTTTTCATCTCAACGTGGTTGATACTACAGGGGATAACCGTTATCAGAGTTTTGAAAACATTATTTTTCATTTCAGCAAGCATATGAGGGTATTCCAATCCAAAGTCGTCTGGAATTCCTGATCCGCACTGTACGAAACACAGACACGTCCATTGAGGTGAGCTTATCACAGTCATTGAATATGCTCAAGTTTACATAAAGTCACTCTCTAAAAAAAACTCATGTTGAAAGTGTGTATTTCTGTATTCTGTAAATGTATTTTATTATTCAGTGGCCAATTATGTGTTTCAGTGTTGATATTAATTAAGAAAGTAATGAATTGTAGTAATGATCATGTTGAAAGGCTGGAGAGCTGCTTCAAAACAGTCAGAAGAACCAGGCATCTTATGCTTGCCACAGAACTAAATGTAGCTGGTTTCGAGTGGGATTGTCCTACTTTCTCTGTGACTTTTACTTACGATCTTTCCTCATGTCTGTTGTGCTTGGCCAAGTCTTGATTATATGCAGACAGACGTTATCTAGCTACAATGTTGCTAGCATGAAACATTTCACTTACTTGAGGATCTTCATTGACACCATTCCACAAAACTAAACGGTGCTGGCACATGATCCTGTACACAGGTCACATCAGACAAAGTTAGGTATCGTTGGTCACAAAGTAATTGGGTGAGAGATTGCTTGCAGAGATCTGGCTTTCTAGTAGTTGATGTTTTTAGCCAAAGAACCTGGATTCGGCCTGGTTCTAGTGAGGGATAAACTAACAGGTGCTGTAGCCAGTGACCACACATTGTTGCTTACCCTGCGGGATCTTGGTGAATCATGTGTGAACACTTTTCCAGATAAGGAGCTTGGCAAATGTTCTGCTACGACGCTTGTTCACGTCCAATTTTGAAGAGTTTTGGCCTCAAGTGAGTGAAGAGCTTAAAAATGCTGTCAAGAAGGAAATGCTGCTGGCTGTCCAAGAAGAGTTGACTCCCCCTGTCAGGAAAAAGGTCTGCGATGCCCTGGCTGAACTGGCTAGGAATATGATAGGTGAGAAAACTTTGAAATGTCAACAGAAATTTTTCATGGTGCCCACCTTCCTTTTCGTAGATATATGCAGTTGTCAAAACTGAAGAATGAAATAGATAGCCCTAATGACTCAAGATTGCGAGAGCTGAGTTGACCCCCTTCAAAATATTTTTTTTGAGGTTTCTGCATTGATACCTTTTTAGAATCAAACTTCTGGGAAAATAGACCACCAATTTTATTTTAGTGAAATCTGAAACTGACTAGTAACTTCAAGGGCTAGCTAGCTTGCTGACCAGACCTGAAATTCTTTGAGTTTTTTTCACACAGTGTTGACCCATGTTCAGTATTTCCGTAAGGTGCTGATGTTCTGTTTTAGATGAGGAAAACAACATGCTGTGGCCTGACTTCCTCAAGTTTCTGTTTGAGTGCGCCAACTCACAGGACCCGGGCTTGAGAGAGAGCGCTCTCCATATATTCACGTATGTTGTGTCATTTACATGTATAGTAGATACACTCTCAGGTCTCTTGGTGTAGTCAGATCAGGCACTCAAACCAGGGTTCTCACCATATTATTTAAGTAATAAAAAAATAAGAACCGTAAGTTATTCTGGTCATTCAAATAAAGGTTTCAGATCAAAATGACAACTCCTGATGGCCATGTCTTTCCAGTTATTTATATTCGCAGTAACACAGTCCGTAATTGTTCCTTTGACCATGTGGTTCAATATTCTGTAAGATTTCCAGCAAATTTTGATCAGGCTTTGTTTTAGAATTTAGCTCACCATGACAATCTTCCATGTCAGTGTCCAACTGTTCATTAGTACTCATAAGAAATCTTGTATTTAAATGAGTATCCTTTGAAGATTCTGTATGGGTCTTTATGTAACAAGATGACTTGACATGTATGATTATATATTGCAACAAAGGTTATGGTTGCAGTTTTCTTATATTTCCACTTCAGTGTGGTGCCAGGAGTGTTTGGGAACCAGCAGACTCACTACATTGAGGTGATCAAGCAGATGCTGGGACAGAGTCTCCTGGACCGGGAACACACTCAGGTATGTACATTCATGTAATGTAGGGCACTCTTAGAAAGTAACTCTGGCATTGGGTAAAAGTTAAAACATCATCAGTTGTGATACAAATGTTACTTCAAGTGATTGCTTTTTTATTTGTTACACTAGCAAACACTGATTAGATGTGAAAATATTTTCATTTGTTGTGCCATAATTGACACGGGCACACACTTGATAGTATCAGACAGTGTTATCTCTTTTGGTATAGAGTTACTTCCCTTCCACTTTTTGATAAGCAGAATGGCTTGGCACTGTCTCGTTTCCTACAACAATTTGTACATGCATTGCCCTTCTGAGCTGTTAAAATTACAAGAAGCACAAAATAGACACAGGCTCTTTTCCTTTCATCTGTAAGTAGTGAACAAGATGTTTTACTTAACATCCTGTGTTTATTGACAGGTTCGGTTTGAAGCAGTGAAGGCAACTACAGCGTTCCTCAATGCCAATGACAAGGAGCAGGGCTTGTTGAACCACTTCCGGGACCTGTTGCCTGGTGTCGTGCAGGTACATACAGTTTCTTCTTTGAGTGGCATTTTAGAAGCTGGGAAGTACAAAACTACCCCCCTTTTCATTTGTACATCTCTGGCTTCTATGCCTTCCCCCATTGTCTACCCACTGGCTTCATCACCTCTGAACCCCCCCTGTTGTGTTAATTACCTTGTTATCTTTGTTACACTCAGTATATATACTTTGCCACCAATGTATGTTACATTCCTGCTTGACAACGGTACAAGAATCTGTATCGAAATGTCGCACTCTCGTAATAAAGAAGTTGTTATCCATAAAGTTTATCAATTAGGTACATACAGCTCAAACAACTGTAGGGAGGAAAGAAATGGGGTCCTTGTCAGAGCCTTAGATTGTGTGGGAAACACTTATGTGTCCAGCTTGATGCTGCAACAGAAAACAAAGATCCCATGCAAGATCCCTGCAAGGGTGTTCTAGTTATCTGTCTACAGGGTGTTGTGCTGTAAGCTTGTCATCTGTCTACAGGGTGTTGTGCTGTAAGCTTGTCATCTGTCTACAGGGTGTTGTACTATGAACTCTTTATCCTTTTGGGGCAGTGGTTAGGCTAATGGTTACAGTGTTGGCTCGTCACGCCGAAGACCTGGGTTCGATTTCCCACATAGGTACAATGTGTGAAGCCCATTTCTGGTGTCCCCTGCCATGATACTGCTGGAATATTGCTAAAAGCGGCGTAAACCCATACTCAGTCATCCATTATCTGTCTACAGTGTTCTGTTTACAGGTCATTGTGATGTTCTCATGTTGTGTCTACAGGGTGTTGTGGAGAGTGTGAACCAACAGGAGGATGATGCGCTACTCAAATGTATGATCGAACTGGCAGAGAACGTCCCAAAGTACCTGCGTCCCCAGCTGGAGAGCATCATTCCTTTGTGTCTAAAGGTCAGTCATTTCAAGGATGTCACTTATCAATTTACTCAATTTGCGCTGACTTCTTGCACCCGTGAAGATCTGGGTTAGAACTGGTCTTCAGCAACCCATGCTTGTCATAAGAGGCGACTAACAGGATCGAGTGATCAGCCTTGCCGACTTGGTTGACACATGTCATCATATCCCAGTTTTGTACATCGATGCTGATGCTGTTGATCACTGGATTGTCTGGTGGAGACTTGATTATTTAGACCGTTTGCCGTATAGCTGTAAAATTGCTGTGTGCGGCATAAAACTGAACTCAATCACTCGCCGACTCGTTGCCTGAAATTCTTATGTTTCACTGGAGAAGACCTTAATTACAAAGTTGTTTTGAAAGGACTGAAATTTCAAGTAGGTAATGCGTTTGACACAATTTGTGTTTGCAGATATTATTTTTCATGTTAATGATTTTTACTGTGATAGCGAATTTGTTCTGAAGTAGCATTTGTTTAGAGTACCCTCCACATGCAAACAATCGTGAACAAAGCCTTAGAGAAAAAAGATGAGGCAAGTTGATTCAGTAAGAAATACTCAATGTGTGTTGATTGTTTTGTTTGCAGGTTGTATCAGATGCCAATTTACCAGACTCATGGCGCCAGCTTGGCCTGGAGGTCATCACCACTCTCTCAGAAACGGCGCCAGCCATGGTCAGGAAGTTCAGCAAATTTATTCCTCTACTGGGTGAGCAGCATACCTTATGTTACCAGATTTGTGTCCTCACTGTTTCCAGATGTGAATAATACTGTCATCAGGAGATAATCCTTATTGATAGAAATGTTCATCAATTCTATACACTTTAGTTATTTTCCTTGCTCTTCAGATATTGTCGATGTTTGTTGGCACTTTTTCCTTTAAGAGAAATTCTGTATGACCACACATCATGAACTTTATATTAATTAATTTTTGTTCCATTTCTAGTGCCCCAGGTGCTTGCTCTGATGGTTGACCTGGAGAATGACCCTGATTGGTCAGTTCAAGACAAGGATGAAGATGAGGATGAAGCTGACAGGTCAGGCCTGATACTTGATTTACTCACTTCACTTGCAAGATGAGTGCCCCAAGCAGAACTCCGACAGTGATACAAATACACTGAACACTGAACTAATGTAGAAAATATTATTCAGGTCTGTAATACTGATCGATATGTGTTAGCCTCGGGAGTTGAAAATGTGAAGTCATCCTTCTACTTTTGCTTGATGAGAATGAAATGATTACATAGATGGAGTAACTAATGCTGTCTGGCATCATTTATAACACTAGTCCATTAATCCGACAAACATACACAGGGCTCCAGATAAGGGCCGTATCGACGTATGTACGGATAAAAAATATGCACGATACGATAGGAAATAATTTTTGAAAACGTAGCAGATATGCACCACAACAATGGTGTACGAATCATTTACAGACGTATTTATATGAAAAAGTATTGTTTTATTGTTTATTGACCTGTTTACACAAGAGCAGCAATGTTGTGGTGCATATACCAAACGAAACACAAGAATACTGATTACTAATTTCCATTCAGTACTCTAAATGTACTCTTTAAGTTTTTCCAGTACTCCTATATTGAAAAAATAAGGAGTACGTACTCCTGATGTTGAAAAATTATCTGGAGCCCTGGGATACAATTACCAGAACATTGCCATAAGATCTTCACGCAAAGTGAAATTTGCTGATTAAAGACTGCAACCCTACTTACTATACACTAACCGTAAACTGATTTTATGCACTGAGATGTATTCATGCTTCTCACATGCATTAACCTGTATTCTCTAATGAGAACCAAATATTGACATGAAACTTCCAGTTGCTTTAGGGGCAGTGGGGTACCCTAGGGGTTAGAGCATTCACTCGTCATGCCGAAGACCCAGGTTCGATTCCCCATATGGGTACAATGTGTGAAGCCCATTTCTGGTGTCCCCTGCCATGATAATGCTGGAATATTGCCAAAACAGAAATTAAACACGCTCGCTCACTCCAGTTGTTTACTGTTTCCAGAGCAGAACACAGGTGTAGTTCAGCCCCATTTACACTTTGTCACTGCTTTCATTGTCAGTGATGATACATCATAGAGCCTTTATTGTCTGAATATATTGATGCTTAATGATAGGACTGAGACATGAAAGCATGATATTTAATGTCAACATGGAATGCAAATTTCTGTGATCTGGTTATCAACAGTCCAACAATTATTGACAGGTTGTTTAGATGAAACCTGTTTATTTTTAGTTATATATCATGACTCCGCGCGAGAGAGGTTCCCCCACCCATCCAACATTACTTAAGTGACACTGACCTTTGACAAATATACACACATGACTTTAAGTTGAAGTGAAACAAAGGCAGGAGATTGTATCACCAGAACCAATGTCCAATATCTTGCCATGTTTGTTTTTCATTCATTGCTGATGGTCTGCTGTAATTCTTGTGGTTTGTTTCAGCAATGCTATTGCTGGTGAAAGTGCTCTGGACAGACTGGCATGTGCCCTGGGAGGGGAAGACAATGCTGCCACACATTGTCACAAACATCTCACAGATGATGGCTCATGGTGAGTGATTGACAATGACGAGAAGAAACTCGTAAACCTCACTTGAAGTTACTCTCTTCTTTTTGCGAAAGGTCCCTGTCAGGTTTGGTGACCTTGACCTTCATTTCATGGTCACAAGGGGACGTTAATTTTTTACCCTCATCAGCGAGATATCTCAAGAACCGTTCACTGTTTCATAAGTTTCAAGGTCACAGCAACACTTTGAAGATTTCAGCATGTTAACCTGCATGTTAAGTTTGTCAGCGAGATATATCAAGAACCATTCTCAGGATTTTCTTCATATTTGACACCAAGCTTTATATAGGGAAGGTGCAGGGCCCATTTGAGTATGTAGACATTCGCGTAATTTTCAAGGTCACAGCGACACTTTGAAGATTTCAGCATGTTAAGATTGTCAGCAAGATCTCAAGAACGGTTCACTGGATTTTCTTCATAGACTTTCAAGACATCTCTTGCTGCAGGGGATTATGTCACCTTAGTGACAACTGCTTCTTCTAATCATAGCCATAGGGCCCTTAGAAGAATTCGGAATGTGTCCCTTTGAATTCTCGTGTTTGATGTGGAAAGATTATTAACATTAGAAATAATGAGGTCAAATGAGTTGCATATCGCCCCTATACTTTGGAGTAATTAGATTTATGCTTTGCAGAGGACTGGCGCTACCGTCATGCAGCACTGATGGCGATATCTGCATGTGCCGAGGGCTGTCATTTACAGATGGAGACGATGTTGGGGAACATCATGGATGCTGTCATGCCGCAAACAAAGGACCCTGTATGTAATCAGATGATATAATTGGCCCTGTGTTGAAGATGCCTTAATTTGCTGTTCAGAGTTATATCCATTGTGTGTACCAGGAACCTATCTTGGTTTTATGAAAGTGGTAAACATCTGAGACTTCATCTCTTTGGGCTTTTTGCCCTCATTTAGCTGACATGCATTGATATAACTGGAATAATGTTCAAAAACTCTGTTAACCCTGACACGCTCATTCAAATTAAAGTAACTCTTCCTATGATATCTTCCAAACAGACAGTTGTTGTATAGCTAGAATATTGTGTCGTACAACCACAAACATCATTTCATCTTTGTTTCAGCATCCTAGGGTGAGGTACGCTGCGTGTAATGCCATTGGTCAGTTGTGTACAGACTTTGGCCCAACCTTTCAGAAAAAGTTCCACCAGCGGGTAAGAATATGTACCTGTTTCAAACATTTTTGTTTTATCAAGTATTTTTGACAAGTATTTAATGTAATATAACTATATAAAGTTTCACAAGAATGATTTAGTTGTCCCATCATCACTGCAGCATTAAACAATATTCACTCTAAGATGTAGTTTTATCTTCATCAAAGATAATGAGAATGATTGACAAATGATCGTGAGATATCGTTGTTTTGCAGATAGTATCAGAGTTGCTCCAGATCATGGACGATGAGGCCAACCCTCGTGTGCAGGCTCACGGTGCTGCTGCCCTCGTGAACTTCAGCGAAGATTGTCCTAAGCATATACTTGTCACGTACCTTGATGTCATCGTTAATAAGCTGGAACAGGTTCTCAACAGCAAGCTGAAAGAAGTGAGTGAGATTGGTTTGATAGTCACTGTGCACCCAGTGAAAAATAAACTTCTGTCCATGTTCAGAGATCGAACAAATTTGAGAAATTTTGTTTGGAACATGTATTTACTACTACTGGAGATAGATGTTGGAATATGTTGTTTTGATGAATATTGTTGAGAGTTACTTTTTTCTATATGCCAAGGAATGTGTGTTCACTTTGTTAAGTAACAAAAAATAAATGTGTTGACCTGTAGGTAGCAAGTAGACACTTCAGCCAAGGCTGTGTAAATGTTTGAAGAAAGCATTTGTACATGGAGTCAACATGGCTGTGCATTTGTTTCAGCTGTTGGAGAAGGGTACGAAGCTTGTACTAGAACAAGTTGTCACAACACTAGCATCTGTGGCTGACACTGCGGAGGAGAAGTTCCTACAGTATTATGATAGGTGAGAAGATCAGTGTTCAGTCAACTTGACTCACCCTATATTTTATTATCTGAATGGGGCGGTGGGGTAGCCTAATGGTTAAAGCGTTGGCTCGTCACGCCGAAGACCCGCGTTCGAATCCCCACATGGGTATAATGTGTGAAGCCCATTTCTGGTGTCCCTCGCCGTGATGTTGCTGGAATATTGCCAAAACTGAAATTAAACTTGCTCGCTCACTCCAGTTGTTTACTGTTTCCAGAGCAGAACACTGGTGTAGTTCAGCCCCATTTACACTTTGTCACTGCTTTCATTGTCAGTGATGATACATCATAGAGCCTTTATTGTCTGAATATATTGATGCTTAATGATAGGACTGAGACATGAAAGCATGATATTTAATGTCAACATTGAATGCAAATTTCTGAGAGACAGGTGTCTGTTTTAGATATCACCTAATGCATTTCTCAGGGAAAATACTACTACTGAGAGCTGTGTATATTCACTGTATTATTATTGCCTTGGCCTTCAGCCCTCTATCGTTCATGGGAGGCATGGCCGTTTGCTCAGTCAACCTTCAACCATAGTAAAACTTCATAAAAAACACTCCATGTCTGGGAAAAACATTCTAACAGAATATTTGCTAATTTCTTCAGGTTTATGCCGTGTTTGAAGTATATCGTTCAGAACGCCACGACAACGGAGTTGCGGTTACTACGAGGGAAAACCATTGAGTGTATCAGTCTTATAGGGTTGGCTGTTGGAAGGGAGAGGGTGAGTGGTTTATCAAGAACTGACTTTGTTGGTTGAGTGTATCAGTCTTATAGGGTTGGCTGTTGGAAGGGAGAGGGTGAGTGGTTTATCAAGAACTGACTTTATTGGTTGAGTGTATCAGTCTTATAGGGTTGGCTGTTGGAAGGGAGAGGGTGAGTGGTTTATCAAGAACTGACTTTATTGGTTGAGTGTATCAGTCTTATAGGGTTGGCTGTTGGAAGTGAGAGGGTGAGTGGTTTATCAAGAACTGACTTTATTGGTTGAGTGTATCAGTCTTATAGGGTTGGCTGTTGGAAGGGAGAGGGTGCGTGGTTTATCAAGAACTGACTTTATTGGTTGAGTGTATCAGTGTATCAGAACTCTTATTGGGAGTGTGGTCTTATAGGGTGGCTGTTGGAAGGGAGGGTGAGTGGTTTATCAAGAACTGACTTTGTTGGTTGAGTGTATCAGTCTTATAGGGTTGGCTGTTGGAAGGGAGAGGGTGAGTGGTTTATCAAGAACTGACTTTATTGGTTGAGTGTATCAGTCTTATAGGGTTGGCTGTTGGAAGGGAGAGGGTGAGTGGTTTATCAAGAACTGACTTGATTGGTTGAGTGTATCAGTCTTATAGGGTTGGCTGTTGGAAGGGAGAGGGTGAGTGGTTTATCAAGAACTGACTTTATTGGTTGAGTGTATCAGTCTTATAGGGTTGGCTGTTGGAAGGGAGAGGGTGAGTGGTTTATCAAGAACTGACTTTGTTGGTTGAGTGTATCAGTCTTATAGGGTTGGCTGTTGGAAGGAGAGGGTGAGTGGTTTATCAAGAACTGACTTTGTTGGTTGAGTGTATCAGTCTTATAGGGTTGGCTGTTGGAAGGAGAGGGTGAGTGGTTTATCAAGAACTGACTTTGTTGGTTGAGTGTGTCATCAGTCTTGGCTAGGGAGAGGTGCTGTTGGAAGGGAGAGGGTGGCTGTTGGAGTGGTTTATCAAGAACTGACTTTGTTGGTTGGCTGTTGGAAGTGTTTATCAAGTCTTATAGGTTGAGTGTATCAGCTGTTGGAAGGCTGTTGGAGGAGAGGGTGAGTGGTTTATCAAGAACTGACTTTGTTGGTTGAGTGTATCAGTCTTATAGGGTTGGCTGTTGGAAGGGAGAGGGTGAGTGGTTTATCAAGAACTGACTTTGTTGGTTGAGTGTGTCAGTCTTATAGGGTTGGCTGTTGGAAGGAGAGGGTGAGTGGTTTATCAAGAACTGACTTTGATTGGTTGAGTGTATCAGTCTTATAGGGTTGGCTGTTGGAAGGAGAGGGTGAGTGGTTTATCAAGAACTGACTTGATTGGTTGAGTGTATCAGTCTTATAGGGTTGGCTGTTGGAAGGGAGAGGGTGAGTGGTTTATCAAGAACTGACTTGATTGATTGAGTGTATCAGTCTTATAGGGTTGGCTGTTGGAAGGGAGAGGGTGAGTGGTTTATCAAGAACTGACTTTGTTGGTTGAGTGTATCAGTCTTATAGGGTTGGCTGTTGGAAGGAGAGGGTGAGTGGTTTATCAAGAACTGACTTGGATTGGTTGAGTGTATCAGTCTTATAGGGTTGGCTGTTGGAAGGAGAGGGTTGGTTTATCAAGAAGTTGTTGATCAGTGTATCAGTATAGGGTTGGCTGTTGGAAGGGAGAGGGTGAGTGGTTTATCAAGAACTGACTTTGTTGGTTGAGTGTATCAGTCTTATAGGGTTGGCTGTTGGAAGGGAGAGGGTGAGTGGTTTATCAAGAACTGACTTTGTTGGTTGAGTGTATCAGTCTTATAGGGTTGGCTGTTGGAAGGAGAGGGTGAGTGGTTTATCAAGAACTGACTTTATTGGTTGAGTGTATCAGTCTTATAGGGTTGGCTGTTGGAAGGAGAGGGTGAGTGGTTTATCAAGAACTGACTTTATTGATTGAGTGTATCAGTCTTATAGGGTTGGCTGTTGGAAGGAGAGGGTGAGTGGTTTATCAAGAACTGACTTTGTTGGTTGGAGTGTATCAGTCTTATAGGGTTGGCTGTTGGAAGAGAGAGGGTGAGTGGTTTATCAAGAACTGACTTTATTGGTTGAGTGTATCAGTCTTATAGGGTTGGCTGTTGGAAGGAGAGGGTGAGTGGTTTATCAAGAACTGACTTTGTTGGTTGAGTGTATCAGTCTTATAGGGTTGGCTTGTTGGAAGAGAGTCTTATAGGGTTGGCTGTTGGAAGGAGAGGGTGAGTGGTTTATCAAGAACTGACTTGATTGGTTGAGTGTATCAGTCTTATAGGGTTGGCTGTTGGAAGGGAGAGGGTGCGTGGTTTATCAAGAACTGACTTTGTTGGTTGAGTGTGTCAGTCTTATAGGGTTGGCTGTTGGAAGGGAGAGGGTGAGTGGTTTATCAAGAACTGACTTGATTGATTGAGTGTATCAGTCTTATAGGGTTGGCTGTTGGAAGGGAGAGGGGTGAGTGGTTTATCAAGAACTGACTTGATTGATTGAGTGTATCAGTCTTATAGGGTTGGCTGTTGGAAGGAGAGGGTGAAGTGGTTTATCAAGAACTGACTTGATTGATTGAGTGTATCAGTCTTATAGGGTTGGCTGTTGGAAGGGAGAGGGTGAGTGGTTTATCAAGAACTGACTTGATTGATTGAGTGTATCAGTCTTATAGGGTTGGCTGTTGGAAGGGAGAGGGTGAGTGGTTTATCAAGAACTGACTTGATTGATTGAGTGTATCAGTCTTATAGGGTTGGCTGTTGGAAGGGAGAGGGTGAGTGGTTTATCAAGAACTGACTTGATTGATTGAGTGTATCAGTCTTATAGGGTTGGCTGTTGGAAGGGAGAGGGTGAGTGGTTTATCAAGAACTGACTTGATTGATTGAGTGTATCAGTCTTATAGGGTTGGCTGTTGGAAGGGAGAGGGTGAGTGGTTTATCAAGAACTGACTTTGAAGGGAGAGGGTTGGTTGAGTGTATGAGTATCTTCTTATAGGGTTGGCTGTTGGAAGGGAGAGGGTGAGTGGTTTATCAAGAACTGACTTGATTGATTGAGTGTATCAGTCTTATAGGGTTGGCTGTTGGAAGGGAGAGGGTGAGTGGTTTATCAAGAACTGACTTTATTGGTTGAGTGTATCAGTCTTATAGGGTTGGCTGTTGGAAGGGAGAGGGTGAGTGGTTTATCAAGAACTGACTTGATTGGTTGAGTGTGTCAGTCTTATAGGGTTGGCTGTTGGAAGGGAGAGGGTGCGTGGTTTATCAAGAACTGACTTTGTTGGTTGAGTGTGTCAGTCTTATAGGGTTGGCTGTTGGAAGGGAGAGGGTGAGTGGTTTATCAAGAACTGACTTTATTGGTTGCGTCCAGAGGGCTAGTGTCCTCAGAGCTTTAGGCTGCTTTAGCTGATTAAGATTATTCTGTCTTTTTACATTTTCTTTTATTTTAATAAGCTCAAATTGTAGCAAAGTTTAGGTATTGATATCTGGTTTAGGATTATTAACCTCAATGAAGATTGTCAGTATCAGATATTTACTTGTCAAATTTGTTTTAACATCCATCCAGTTCAAGTTTTCAATCCGATAGCTAGATTTTAGAACAAGTAGTATCCGGTGATGTTACATGTGTGTTTGTGGTCTTCAGTTTATGCAGGACTGTAACGATGTGATGCAGCTGCTGTTGAAGACACAAATGGACCAGGAGGAAATGGCGGACGATGACCCACAGGTGAGGATTTATCGGCACATCATGATTCAAGCTGTCAAAATTATATGACCCAACTCACTCACCTTAAATTCGGAATACAACCTCCTCGTTACACGCCGCCACTACTAAGTTGCAATTGTGAAAACGAAGAGAGCCCATACATCCTTTATTCCATGTACCATAACTCTTTTAAATATATGTGAAAATACCTAAACTCATGATTTTATGTAAATATGTTACGTGTTTGTATCTGATGTGACCGCAGCTCTGTTGATGTAACACAAATTCCTGAAAAGGCAATAAAGTATTGTTCTAGTCTAGTCTAGTCTAAAACTGCAGACCATTTGTGTTTATCTTTTCAGATATCATACATGATCTCAGCGTGGGCAAGAATGTGTAAGATATTGGGGAAGGATTTCCAGCAGTACCTGCCACTTGTGATGGGGCCAGTGCTCAAGGCAGCCTCTCTTAAACCTGAGGTTGCAGTTGTTGATAGTACGTAACTTTGTCACTTAGTCAGTCTTAGTATCATGTATTTGTTACATGGGCATGCATGATGTACAGATAACAGTGCAACCATCCATTAATCATAATGTAAAACAAAACGTGTTCACAGTTTCGTCAGTCCTTACAAAATTGCCACAAATGACAAAAACAAACTTGAAGTTTTATTTGAACTCGTAATGCCATGCTTTCAGCCCAATATTTCTTTGAGCTGTCCTCTTCAAAATTGAAGGGGCCTATAGTTTCTTTTGACATCATTCCAACTAGTGATGCAAAGTATTGAGAGAAAAGGATGTGTATTCTGTGACAAATAAGACCAGCCATTTTGTTGAGACAGAAAATGGGGTTGGAATGAGCCTTGCTGGGGAAATGATGATGTGCTGTGTTTCAGGTGAAGACATGAAAGCCATGGAGAATGACTCGGACTGGCAGTTCGTTACTCTTGGGGATCAGGTGAGATCAATTTGTATTTAGCCTCTTTTTCAGGCCAGATGCCAAGGGGATTCATTGTTTGAATTGCCCCTCACAGCCTGGGCTTGTCCTGCAAGGGAACTGGTTGTTAGGCTTGATGACTTGGTTGATAGTCATAACCTGACACTGTTTATAGTTGTTCATGATATCAATCACTGGTTTGTCTGGTCCAGTCTTGACTACAGCCTGGAATATTAAACAATAACACACTCATATCTGATAAATGGTCCAAGTCGCTTCACCTGTAAGACATTAACAAGCAAGACTTTGTGACAGTGACTGCATGTCATTGTCATGCTGCTTTCAGTTGCTGGCTTGTACAGGGTCATTTTGAATCTCATGACTTGTGATTTCAATTTCCACTTGAATTCTCTTGCAGCAAAGTTTTGGTATTCGGACAGCAGGCCTGGAAGAGAAGGCAACAGCCTGTCAGATGCTGGTGTGTTACGCAAGGGAGCTGGATGAGGCATTTGCTCCATACACAGAGGAAGTTGTCAAGACACTAGTACCACTTCTCAAGTTCTACTTTCACGATGGTATCCTTCCTCATCAAGCCGGAGCTTCATGCTGCTTGTGTCTGGAACAATCAGGATTATATACTAATTTGACAAACCAGAGTATTTTGGAGACCAAGTTCTGCATGAAAAGAAACAAAAACATTGATCAGATCGACAGAATATAACGTATATTACCATCTATAAGCCGACCCCATAGATAAGCCGACCCCCAAACTTGACCCTTAAAATCAGTGACAACTGGCAGTTACCAATAATTATAACTTTGTCCACATTATTCAAAGAATTCACAATCATATTGCGTCTACTCACGCCTCGAAATGAAGTGTAGTTGACAGAAAATGGATAATATATTTTGTTTCGCTAAACATCATACTTATTGTAGCTGGATGATCACATGTCAACAAACTGGCTTGCTTCTTTTACCCCATTCCATGTGCGTACAACTTCCGCTTACGACCTCGTTTTCCATGGACTACTAGTTTACAGTACCATCGGTAAATATGTGTGAAATCTGACAGTCATCAGTAAAATATAATACAGAACACTGTTATTCAACCCAAACAAATATATCCTAGCATTGCGTAATTTTAATTAGTTTATTTGTTCTATAAATGTAAAATATATATAATCAACACTAAGGTTATACGGACCCTCATGAATGTGGTAAGCGGAAGTTGTACGCACATGGAATGGGGTCAAATAAGCAAGACATTTAAATTCATCCCGTTATTTTATTGTGCATGTTTGAAATTGATCGTCGGGAAACGTGTGCACAGCTGATTGCAATTTCCGGCTCAAATATTCACGGTAATCTTAATCCCTGCAAATAATAAAATTCCCAGTAAAAACAACTTAGAACTTTAAAGGTAAATAATCTTGTCTAGTGATGTTTATTGCAAATTTTGACGTCTTTACTGACAAGTTGTCTTCTGTTTGCTCATGCGAAGTGATACAATGTTGTTTTCTTACCCCTGGAAAATAGTTTGACGAAGCATAACTCATAGATAAGCCGACCCCCTTCTACAGACTGCTTTTCTTTATCCTCCAAATTCGGCTTATAGACGGTAATATACGGTATATTTAATGGTAGTACATGTAGGGCTTATATATGAAGTCTAAGACCCTGTTACTGAAAGTGACTGAGTGCTGTGACTATTATACTTCTATATGAGAGTATGGGAGTAATGATTATCTAAGTGCCATGATCGCGTTGTGAAACCTGGCCCTAGAAGATGTTCAAGTGTCTTTACAGACTCATTAATGTTATCAGCCATCATTTGTTTTCATTGTCGGTGATGATATATCATAGAGCCTATATTGTCTGAATATAGTGATGCTTAATGATAGGACTGAGACAATTGAAGGCATGATTTTAAATGTCGACACAAAGCTGCGACAACTACCCTTGTTTACCTCACGTGATCCCTCGGATACCAGGTCTGGCATAGTTAAGTTTTTTTAGGGGATGTTCCTACATGTTATCACCTTTAGGTAGTCAGTGTTTCAGGTAAATTAATTATTTAATTAAATGTACGTATGTACTCGGTGTTGAGCCCTGTTGCCATAATTTTTCAGTGACGCACTTTTGATTAATTCAAGAGACCTACTTTTAATTAGTACTCTTTACCTAAGGAGAAATTTTGGGGCTTGATTGGAACTTGACGAACTGATGATGCATGATCCATCAACTATTGTCCCCTGTTAGGTCAAGGTCACTCGATCACATAAACATGAAGTATGATTGAAATTTAAATCATTGGATACCTCTTTGACAGATTTTGAGTTATGATACTGTAGAACATGTATTTGATATGGATCCTTAGCGTGTAAGATGTTCGGATCGCTGCGTCAGAGAGTCTGCCGTTCCTGATCGGATGTGCCAGTATACGTGGACCAGAATACCTTGCCCAGATGTGGGACTTTATTTGTCCAAACTTGCTTAAAGCTATTGAGATTGAACCCGAGCAAACAGTACTGCCCGAGCATCTCAACTCTTTAGCAAAGGTAAGTACAGTAGTTGGAGAATATTGCACTGCAAAGAATGTAGACAGTAACCAACAAGCCATGAGGAATCATGACTTGTCTGTCCTAAGTGAATGAAGGGTGTTATGACTTTTAGTCACGATGGACCTCTAATTCGTAAGTTCTAGTGTGTTATTCTATATATTATGAGAAAAAAATGTAACTAAATTGCACTGAAGACACCCTTCTGACAGCGTGAACAACATCGTTTTTTGTTGGTTACTGAGTCATGTCGGCATAGTTGGCAATACAAAAGCATATGCTGCAGCTTTTCCACTCTTGATACCATATTCTGATTTTGAACCTTATATAAAAAAGTATATTAAACATTTAATGCAAACAAAGTGGAACGCCCAAGTAGGTATAAGCAAACTTCATGAAATTAAACAAACCTTAGGATATACCTACTTAGGATGTCAATCCAGACATGATGAAGTTGTAATGAGACGATGTCGAATTGGTCATACTCGTTTTACCCATGAGTATTTGTTGAAGGGAGAGGATCCTCCATTTTGTATCCCTTGTGATGAGAGAATCACAGTTAAGCACTATTTGCTTCACTGTGTAGAATTTTCTCTCATAAGGTATACTTACTACAAAGTTGCAAACTTACAAGATCTTTTTAGCAATGTAAATTCTCATTTAATTCTATGTTTTTTAAAAGAAATAGGATTGTACAATAGCTTTTCAATGAATGTATTTTAACTATGGTTGACGCAATTGATAACTCATATTATTATAGCAGTGCTATTAAATGGGGTTGAAGTATTGTAAAAAGATTGTCCTTTGATTATAGCATGTTAGTCTAAATGGTATTGTGGTACTTTACAGATAACCAGTATTTTATGCTCACATATTTTGACATGTTTTAATTTATGGCTAGCTTGCCTACGACTGCCAGTGGTCAATGTTATGGCTTAAATCCTGCTGGGGTTCATGCAGGAAGCCAAAGTACTGTAAGTCCCCATGATCCCCAGTAAGGTGGTCTGGCTTTGGTGACTGGTGGTAAATAGCTCGTATTTTATTGTTTTACTAAATCAAAAGAAAACAATACGCATTTGAATCGACTTGCTGCTATGTTGACAACAGCTGATCGATTGACCTCAATGCAGCGCACGTTACTAAAGGCTTTGCGATGCACGGTTTTCTCACTTCGCGTGATCACCGAGGCGAGACGGGATATGATTTTGTACTCCCTGCTTGCGGATCGTGACGGGGGGTACATGGTGTTTTATCAGTCACGTGAACCAATCAAAACTCGACATTCTTACATGAGGCTGGATAAAGTCTTTTATCAATTGAAATGGTTAGTTTTTAGATTCAAATTGTGATAACTTGCTAATGTTTTACTGTCCTTTGCGACAGATATTTCTGATAGTTAAACCAAATGTTTCTCGTCACTATATGGCCGAAAAATTGCCGATGTGACGTAAAATTTTAACTCACTCACTCACTCACCCTGACTGATATAGGTTTTTTGATGGCTACACTCAGTTTGTGTTTGCAGTAAGGTACATACATTTTTTTGTTAAAAGTTAATACAAACATTTCTCTTAGTAAAATCCCTCGGCAGAGCACCTTTTATGCTGTGTATTTGCATGAAGTGTGCATAATAGTTTGCCATTTGCTGGGTAAAAAGTACAGAATATGCAAGTGATAAATGCCTGGTCACATAGTATTTCAATTAAATATTTCAACCCATGTGACCCAAATGGAAAAACACACAAAACACTGTTTCTCATCAATTCCGACCCGTGAAGGTCCGGGTTAGAATTGATCTTCAGTATCCCATGCTTGTTGTATGAGTGGACTAATAAGATCGGATGGTTTGACACATGTCATCGTATCCCAGTTAGCAAACACTGCAAATACAGCCAGAGCTTTTGGAGAAACGTTCTATGAAACGTCGGTGATATCATAAGTCTTTTATTTGTAGAGGATAATTAAATAATGATGGAAATTTACATATGCTTTCATTGTCAGTGATGACATATCATGGAGCCATTTTCTCTGAAGATTTGTTGATGCTTAATAATAGCACTGAGATATGAAAGCCCAGTGTATCAGTTAACAATTATTTTAAAAAGCCTAAATTTTGTTCAGAATGCTGTTTTAATTTGCAGCACATGTAGAAATGTGTCACCACTGTCCAGCGGTGTGAAATTTGTTGCTTTCGTTCAGATTTTGTTTTGCTTTATTCCCGAAAACTACGTCTTGAGGATCAAAATAGTGCTTAATTTGGTAAATATCAGTCTAAGTAAACTTAGGCTCAGTATTACTCGTTACACTGCTTATGCTGAGTCTAACAAACCCTAGTAGAAGGTCGCAGCAGCTAACCTTTTCAATTGACCAATCAAACACAGCTTACCAAATCGTTGACATTTATACATACCTTTTGAACTTTTACCTCAAAAAAGTTTGCAGCCGAACGATTCTGAATGCTATTTTCCATATGATCGCTTCCCGAGTGCGCCACAACAGTGAGTAAACAGTTGCTGAAAACAGCGTTTTTGTCAATATTCAAGGGTGTCAGCTTGCAGAAATATTAGCTAATGGTAAACATGTCTTCAGAAAGCCCTAAGCGTATATACTGCAGGTCAAATATCTGTGTTTCATGCAGATTTTCCTTTGTTGTGAGATCAGTGTCGGTGACCGGGGAATTTTGTAAGTCCTGCCAAACCCTAATCACTAACCATTCTCTGATTGGTTAAATCCGTTCGGCCGTCTCGCGTTTGATTGGACTGTCATAGGTCGCTCAAAGGTTGGCTGGCACGACCTTCAGCTAGGTTTTGTTAAGACTCAGTATAGTAGTGTAATGAATAATACTGAACCTAAGTTTACTTAGACTGGGTAAATTTTGAAGTGGCGCGGATGAAATATTTTTAATGTTCCTCGGCAGCATGGCTAAAATGATAAAAAGAATACACAACATTGTCCATTTCATGGACAGTGGGATATGTTTTGACTAAGTCAAAAGGGTCGAAACCTGTTTTTGCACCCCGTCAAAATGTTTATCACTGACTCTATGAATCTCTCAGCATTACAGACGCATGGCCATTTAGAATGCCATTGTGCATGACAGGAAATACTGTTTTGGTGATTTATTGTGAGATTGATCTGGGTCTATTTCAGTGTGTGGAGAAGCTGGGCAAGGGTTGTCTGACAGACGAGTACATGAAACAGCTGGTGCAGTCTATAGACAAGCTGCTGAAGGACCACTCGTCACGGCAGGAGGAGCGACAAGGTGAGGTCTTGGGTCAGGGTGGCCTGTGTGGTGGTAGTGTGTGTTCAGGTGTGTAGGGATTCCAGATTAGAACAGATTCCTTGACAGGAACTGTTTTGACACTCAACTCCTTGACAGGAACTCCTTGACACTCAACTCACTTCCATATTCTTTGAGACGAAGACTGTTGATTGATGGTTGTCATAAGCATGTTTACTGTGTGTTGCAGAGAAGCGGAAGGATGAGGACTATGATGAACAAGTGGAAGAATCTCTTTTGGATGAGGTGAGTCAATACCTAAAACTCAGGCAACTTCTGCTTGTTGTCAGAGGAAGCTAGGCTTCAGCTGAACTGGTAACTTGATTGGTTGTGTGTCTTCGTACATTGACAGCATAGATTGTTGCGAGATTGTCTTGACCAAACTCAGTAATTTGCTGGCCGCCATCTTACAGTTGAATAATACTGTGTGCCTTCTTAAGCAAAACAACCCATCAGACACAAAAGCTTTAAAGCCTTTCTGCTAGGTTACTATCAAGTGTTTTTAAGTTTTGGGACTACTTGGTAATCTATGTCCTTTATGTCAGACGGCCAAATGGATCAGTTTTGGTAATTTATTTGAAAGTGTTGTAATGTATTCCATGGCATAATATCGATGATTGAATTACCCATTTCAGATTCAAATATTGATCAAAGTCTGTCATAGCTGGAAAAATCAGAATGTCCCATAGAACACTAAATGTAGATTACCGCACCTGACATGGTGTCTGTAATCAGACAGACTTCGTCACGAATTGAATGATGCGAAAAAGACGGGAAGAAAAGTTTAGATGTAAAGTACTCGTGGTGGTGTGAATATTCTGAGTAGTCATGAGAAGATAACATCAATGGTTCCCTTGGTTGCAGGATGATGAAGACGTGTACATACTCAGCAAGATATCCGACATCATCCATTCCTTCTTCGGGACACACAAAGACGCCCTTTCTGCCGATATTTGAACAGATCATGCCACATTTTGTCAAACTCTTGGTGAGGAACTGCATTGAATTTTAGCAGGATGCAGCAAGATCTGTAACAATTAACAGACACGTTGCTTGCAGTATTTATACTGTCCATGGGCATAGCATAATGGCAAGTTAATGACAGGACGAACTGTCAGGATCACTGGATTGGTTCATTCTTGATATACTTCCCATTTGCATAGATTCATGTAAATAATGTCAATCATTAATTTTTCTAGCACAGACCCAATTATGTACACACTGCCATCATAGTGTTTGAATATTGGTGAGTGAAGCATTATTGACAACAAACAAACAGCTTTCAGGAACCAGTGAGTACACCAGAGAGATATGTTTGTTTCAGAACCCAGCTCGGTCGTGGCCGGACAGACAGTGGGCTCTGTGTGTGTGGGACGATGTGTTGGAACACACTGGACCTGTAAGTTGATACTGACTCACATTGTATACCTGTGGGGATTAAGGGTAAGATTAGGTTTCAAGCAAGTAAGCAGCAGCGAGATATATCGTGTGGTCTGGTTTGGTAACATGGCTGATAATTTGTCCCCGAACCCTGAAGGCATTGATCGCTGTTCACTATATCGATGACTGGATACTCGGGTCTAGACACAGATATTTACAGGTTGCTTGAGTATTGCTGATTTGTCACTGTGGTATTGAGCCACTAGTGCACACTGAGAACAATAAGTCAAAGCTCTTGTCATTAAGACCCAATATTGTATTGATTCCAGCAACATTAACAAAGTTCCAGCGAAAGAAAAATTGATTTAAACAATTCACAAATTCACTGGTATTTGTACAGCCAAATTTTGTCAACTAATTTCTGCAGTCCCATAATCTGTCTCATGCTTTCATTGTCAGTGATGATATATCATAGAGCCTTTATTGTCTGAATATATTGATGCTTAATGATAGGACTGAGACTTGAAAGCAGGTAAATGTATCGAGGCCACAGACCAAGTCGGCCATGAGCTGGGTAGTTGATTGCTGGAGTATCTCCAGAGTACTCGCATCCCACATTGAGCTACCATGGTAATGACCCGACTCTATTCCTTATTGGCAGATCTCCATCAAGTATCAGGAGTTCTTCCTGAGGAATATGCTGGACTCCCTGGTAGACAAGTCCACGGAGGTGCGGCAGGCAGCAGCGTATGGCATCGGAGTCATGGCCCAGTTCGGGCAGGACGTTTATGCCGATGCTTGTGCAGGTGAGGTGGACGGTTTCATAGACGATGTTCATGATGATGAAAGAAAACTGCAAAACACAACCTTTTTTTACGCCAGCTATTTATTAACGATGTCCACATTGACCATTCAGGGATTTACTATTCCATGAATGCATTCAGTGTTAGAATGCAGAAAATGCTTTCCTGAGAACTTATACTCACTTTTATTGCCCCTTCAATTTTTTTTAAAGTTTCAAATATTTGAAACATTTCAATCGGAAGTTTTATGATTGATTAATTAGCCACAGTTCACAACAGAATTAAACAATTAATATTTTTCCTTATCCTGACTCATGCTCTTTTTGCTTGTCTTCTTCTTCTTGCGAACATAGTGGAACACTTGTATCTCCCTAATTGAAGCTCCCTTCAATGTAAAATCACTAATTAGTACTCAGCACGAGTGACCTCCCTTCCACAAGCGCGGGAACGAGGGCGCCACCTCCACCCATGTGCCTCACTCTCTCCTTCTTCGCCCAGTGAGCTGGACGTGAGAGCGCCTGTGTCTCCCGACACACTATATCCTTTGATTATATTTAGTTAGTTACCTCGTATAGACATCTATAGAGGTTTAGCTAGTATCCTTCAACAATTATATATTGATATTTAGTCGTGTTTCTACTGTTTATTCACGGGACGCCGTGTTTGTTTCAGTGGATTACGTTGATAAAAATTCTGTTCTGTTGCAGATTACGTTTTTTATTCTGCTGCTGATCCGCATTTAATATGCCCTAGTTGTACTGCGCCATGTTCATTTTATTCACGTTGCAGTTGCGGTACTAATTTATCCATTTCTGCCTTTAATAAATAATTACTTTGCGTTGAGACGCCGCAGCAGATAGGTCGCGTATGCAGAGTCTAGCCATGACTGATACACCTGAAACCCTCGCCAGTCTACTGCTGTTGGTAGACCCCCCTCCCGTCTGGTGTTCCGCTAGAGTGGTGGAGAGGCATGGGACGTAGTCCGCCGCCTCCAAGAAGCGTCCTGCTTCCCCAGACATCCCATCGTCGCAGCCGAAGACTAGAGGGTTTCTACTGCATCTCAACGCGACCTCTGAGGGGAAATCAACGAAGTCTACTTGAACTTTCTCAGCCGAGATTGTTCCCGTCATTTAGATTTGGGCCTGTATGATGATCAGCCGATCATCATACCTGATGTACATCAAAAGAATGACCGATGTCGACAACAGTGATGTCAGCGCAGATCAACATGCAGCCTGATGTACCAACGCTGATATTCTATGATCTTCCTGAGGGTCCCGTCGCTACCAACACTCAACGCAGACTTCGCACCCCCAGGGCAGCGTCGACCTCTGAGGGGAAATCAACGAAGTCTACTAGGACTTTCTCAACCGAGATTGTTCCAGCCGCTGAACTGGGCCTCTACGATGATCAGCCGATCATCATCCCCGACGACGCCACAAGAAGCTTTACCGGAGACAGCTACAGTGACATCAGCAGAGATCGCCATGCAGCCTGAGGTCTCTACACTGACGCCAGACGACTTCCTGAGGGCCCCGCCGCTAACATCGCAGAGAGGGCACCGACTAATTGCCGCAGACCATCCCAGATGAACTGTTGCGGCAAATCATGATCATGATGGAGGGCCACTACAGACTGGGAAGCAGCCAGCCCAAGGCCTGAGCCTTCGCGAAGGTTCCAACGCAGACGACACCCCAGAGGCACCCCCATCAGCGTAACAGCCACGACGAAGCCACCTTCGCTGAAGGAAGTCGCAGACCACCTCCACGAAGGACCCAGATGTACAGCCTTCGCTGGCGGCCTTCGCCGGCGGGATAGATCATCACCTGCCTCGGCTTCATCCTTAGATGCGGACTCAGACCATCAGACCTCACGGAAGCCTTCGCGAAGGTCAAATCGCCGTTCCCCAGGACCGGACGCAGAGGAAGCTTCGCGAAGGCCTTCGCGAAGGACACCTGACTACACAAGAGCTTCGCGAAGCTATCAACATTCTCCTCACAGGTCTCCGAGAAGGTCAACCCATAGACGCAGATCACCAACACGATCTCCGCTGCCGTTAACAGCGCCGATCTCTTCGTGACATCACCACGCCGATCGCCTCACAGGTCACCACACAAGTCTGCACACAAGTCTACAGTCAGGTCTCCCCGAAATCCACCCGACATAGAGATAGAAATACACAGTCCACCATCAGAAGAGCAGCAACATCTCATCAGCGATGCTGGGATAGAAAATGATGGAGGCATCATTTTCTCAGACGCTGAGATACGATATTGGATGGTAAACAACCTAGATCTCTCTTCACCTTCCAAGAGTGGCAACTCGGCGCAGACATACCTGATAAAGGAAGACGAGGCAGACGCCATCACCTTACCTCCGATCGACTTCGATTGCTTGCTGCGGTGCCACAGTATGTGGTCACAGCCTACCATAAAGCCATAACAGTTCAAACGCCAGAGGCGATGTTCTTGGCATTAATAGATCTAGAACGATCAATGAGATTCTTATCACCAGATTTCGTGTGACACGACTTCTGAAGATGATAGGATGATCTACTCGGCTCTACTTATGCAGAACCAGCAAGAACCACACCCTGTATGAAGCTAACGCCATATATTGATCGAATTCTAGGCGCTTCGCTAAGGAAGTCCCAGGCCACCTCCGCGAAGGAGCTAGAGCCTCACCAGTTACAAGGGACGCCACGGAGGAGTAGCTTCACCGACCCCACATATTGCTGAGTGCGCGGTAAAACAAAACACTCACTCACTCACTCCTGTTGAACACAGAGGTCGCTTCAGCAAGCAAGCCATATATTATATATATACTGATCGGGGCTCTGACTTCGATACCTTCGCTGAAGGTCGCGAAGGCTAAGTGGCTCCAAGTCTACCTCACACAGGAAATCTAGAATGGATACTTCGAGAGCTTCAGCGAAGTCTCCGGCGCCCACCGAGGAATTCTCCTCCAAGGTCTCCATATATTAGCCACTCGTCATATATAGCTACTTTCGTCCAGTCCGTTCAAGACATCGCATAAGTTGTCTATCAACTGTATGCCATATGCCGTCTATAAGCCTACGCGAAGACAATTGCACAGGCTATTTACAACACAAAACGTCGCTATATTAATTAATCAACGACGTTGCATAGATCTTCACAGAAATCAACCTTTCCGTATAGATTGCTAGAATATGCAATCCCGGACTACGATACGATTATCTACATGCGTGACCATTACGCAGATCTGCAGACAATTCAATATCGAAATTGAACAGCAGCCTTGTTACAGCGAGTATAACTCATAATCGTCAAAGTTTCTGAGAAGAAATATGTACAAGTTCAGCTTTAATTCTACAATTATGACGATACATTCATGTATACAGTCTACAAGCTGACAACTTGCAAGTTTATTGTACCTTTATATAAGGAAGTCGGAATTATATTCAAAACTGAAGTTACATTCACGACAGCCAGGAAAATAACCTACCCAGCATTAATATACAGAGCGAGGTATTTCGCGCCGGAGGTTTCGCGCGTTTTACCTTAACCCTCAAAACACGTGGTCACTCGGGTAACTTCGGGAAGCTACGGTGAAGACCGACGATTATGCTAATATCAACGACGGCAAGATTTTATACAAGGTTTTTTTTCCTGCTACACCGGTGACATCACAGCTGGTATTCTACAGAATCAAAATGCCTTGTTCTGATTGGACGCGTTGGACAACGACTCCACGCGAGAGGTCGATCTTAGTTCACAGTTCAAGACTTACGTTACAAGTGAAAACTATATATCAGTGAACGAGCAAGCCTCCTTACAGTCCAGTTAATCTGAACCTTCATGATTGGGCTGCTTTCTTCAGATTAGAGACCTCCCCTGTCAAGTTAGGACGAGGGCACGGCAGTCAGGCAATTTTACATAAAGTTCAATGAGGACAGACACACCGGGGTTGTGCACCTACATCGTCAAGGACTTCTCAGCGAATAACCTAGACGACGGGATACAAGTGGATCTAAATCCACAGCGTCTCAGACTACAGCTGAATTTCATAATCAAGCTACTAACACAACTAGATGGTTAGTAAACCTACTTAAACTTTCTGATTGGAGAATTAAAAACGGAAGTTTCACCCTCCAACTTGGGGATCTGAATATAGTGCTCCAACACCTCACAAGTGAGGTTTATGAACACGCCTGGATGACATACTTGGACTCCATGATACGATGATTCTATCACGATGGCCAGCAAGAGCACTGTAAATTTATCTCCACCGAAACAAACAGAAGGGAATAATACAACAGATTATTTCCTCTATCATCAACTTACGCAGAATGAAATCTCACGTACTATATCTCCGTTTGGATCAGAACTGTCATACTACGTGCATACAAGACGGATGGACCCAATCCGACCCTCCATGAGCTTTTAATACTCATGATATTAGAGCGCTAACTTCTACAATTGATCTACACAATATTATTTGAAATAATGGAGGGTTTAATTTCTGGAGATCCGATATGGTGGTTGCCAACCATTATCTGAGAGATATCACCGAGGACGTCTCAGGTATCCACCAATTCGATCCCATGGTCCTCGCACAACAGTTGACAGTTCCTCGGAGAAGATAAGTCAATCTTACAGATTTTACTTATCTTATAACAGTACTAAATAGCTACATGCTATATATAATTTGCTTAAGTTCTTTTATCATCACAGTACTATGATTATTACATCATACAATATATAAGTTAACAACTCTACAGAGTTGGTTATTATATATTTACCTTAACTTAATTATATCTTCAGCATAGTACTATACTCAGATTGTAAAAATATATAAGCTAACAAACTCTACAGAGTTTGGGGTTTATATCATATCAGTATATTAGCTAACAAACTCTAAAGAGTTTTTGCTAATTGGCTTAAGTCTCATCATATCTTAAGCAATATGGTTACATTATAACATGTATTAGCTAACAAACTCTACGGAGTTTTTGCTATTAT